AGGGGATGGCAACAAGGGTGGGTATTATACATGATCTTCAAAACAGTGGGGTTTTGAGGAGAGGTGGGGTAGAAATGATCTAGAAGCATTAAAGGCCAGACCCTGAGGTACCTTGGATGTAAAAGGAACAGCTTCCTTAGGCAGGTTTCTTTGAGGACAAAAGGGAAGGACCCTTCAAATAAGATAGACCATGTTCCAGAAGGCGAGTGAAAGGGTTGTGGGACAGGCAGTTTAGGAAGGAGAGCAGGGTGAACAAATATTTATTATTTCCCCTGCACTGGGCATAAAGGATGCCCCTGTGAACTAGCAGAYAGGTCCCTGCCTTTGCAGAACTTGTGTTTTAATGCTGCTTCAGCCAGTACCAAGTGTCTTGAGTTCTCCTTGAGATCTAAACACCTTCTGAAGRCAGAGATCCCTCTTCTTCTCCCCTGGACACAAGAGCCAAGGGTACAGAGCAGCTATGTGTGTGCAAATGCCTGCTGCTCTAACATAATCACCCCCATTCCATGCTGTGACCAAGCCCTTGGCAACCCTTTCACGCTGAGTCATGGGTGTGTGTGAGAGCCTTTGTTCCAGGTCTCAAGCTGAGAGCTGCACCTGCCCTCCCCGCAGTCATCTCCTTTTCCCTCTTCTGGGCCCTTGCTCTACCAGACACCATCCGGAAGATGAAGAACGATTTCCGTAAGATGGAGGACGAGATGGACCGTCTGGCCACCAACATGGCGGTGATCACCGACTTCAGTGCACGCATCAGCGCCACGCTGCAGGACCGCCACGAGCGCATCACCAAGCTGGCAGGTGGGTCCCATCCCTAGCAGGCCCTGCAGAARGCAGCCCTCTGCTGTGGGGCTAACATGTTCTCCCGGTTGGCCCCCCAGGTGTGCATGCGCTCCTGCGAAAGCTGCAGTTCCTCTTCGAGCTGCCCTCGCGCCTCACCAAGTGTGTGGAGCTGGGCGCCTAYGGGCAGGCGGTGCGCTACCAGGGCCGCGCCCGGGCCGTGCTGCAGCAATACCAGCACCTGCCCTCCTTCCGTGCCATCCAGGACGACTGTCAGGTCATCACGGCCCGCCTAGCTCAGCAGCTGCGGCAGCGCTTCAGGTGTGGTCCCTGGCCCTAGCCTTGCCCACCAGCCAGGGCGGAGTGCACACCTTCCAGGCCCTTGTGGGCTGTGCCCTGCCTACTGCCTTGCCTCCCTGACTCCTGCCCACCCTGCTAGCCGCCCTAGGTCTGCCTCTCACTGCCATCTCCCTCCCCACAGGGAGGGTGGCTCAGGCGCCCCTGAACAGGCCGAGTGCGTGGAGTTGTTGCTGGCCCTGGGCGAGCCTGCCGAGGAGCTGTGCGAAGAGTTCCTGGCGCATGCTCGTGGGAGGCTTGAAGAGGAGCTGAGCAGCCTGGAGAGCGAGCTGGGGCCCTCTCCTCCTGCCCCTGATGTGTTAGAGTTCACTGACCGAGGCGGCAGTGGCTTCGTGGGCGGCCTCTGCCAGGTGGCAGCAGCCTATCAGGAGTTGTTTGCAGCCCAAGGTCCCGCGGGTGCGGAGAAGCTGGCAGCCTTCGCGCGGGAGCTGGGCGGCAGATATTTTRCTCTGGTGGAGCGGCGACTGGCACAGGAGCAGGGTGGTGGTGACAACTCGCTGCTGGTGCGAGCGCTGGATCGCTTCCATCGGCGCCTCCGGGCTCCTGGGGCCCTACTGGCTGCTGCAGGGCTCGCTGAGGCTGCCACCGAGATTGTGGAGCGAGTGGCCCGAGAGCGCCTGGGCCATCATCTACAGGGCCTGCGGGCAGCCTTCCTGGGCTGCTTGACGGATGTGCGCCAGGCCCTTGCTGCTCCTCGCCTGGCTGGGAAGGAAGGCCCCAGCCTAGCCGACTTGCTGGCCAGTGTGGCCAGCTCCATCTTGAGCCACATTAAGGCCTCTCTGGCAGCTGTGCACCTCTTCACTGCCAAGGAGGTGTCCTTCTCCAACAAGCCCTATTTCMGGGTACGGTCTGCGCAGGGGCTTTTAGTTATTTGTTCTGCTAATTGGCTCTCCAATGCCCTTTTACTAGAACATATTTAGCAGTGATTGGGGAACTGAGGACTAGTTACCACGGCTCACACAGTCTGTGCCCCTAGAGGGCACTCTAGATGCRCTGTCAGGTTCTCCAGGATGGGGGGACTCTGAGAGCACCTGCAGCCAAGCTATAGCAGAGGAAAGCGCCAGCCAGTGTCCCTATTGCTGCCACTGCCACACACACAGACCAAGCAGAGAAGCTGCTCCTGGGTACTTGAGATGCAAGATGAAGCTGTCCCTTGGAGAGGGGCCAGGGCAGAGGGTGGGACAGCCCCTGCCTAGAAGGAAGGACTGTCTATCTGGGCCCTTCTTCCTCCCAGGGTGAGTTCTGCAGCCAGGGTGTACGAGAAGGCCTCATCGTGGGCTTCATCCGCTCCATGTGCCAGACAGCTCAGAGCTTCTGTGACAGCCCAGGAGAGAAGGGAGGTGCCACCCCCCCTGCCTTGCTTCTGCTACTTTCCCGCCTCTGCCTGGACTATGAGACAGCCACTATCTCCTACATTCTCACTCTCACTGATGAGCAGTTTCTGGTGCAGGTGAAATTTGGGCTCATGGTGGGGGGCAGAGGGTGGTGGTTCTGGGAACATAGGAGGCTGGGCAGTCCCTGGTGGCCAGACCCAACCTCTACCCTACTTTGGCTGTGTCTAACTCTTAATTGGAAGTGGCCCCTGAACTGTCACCAAGTACCCACTGCCTCTGTCCTCTGCCTCTGGCTCAGGACCAGTCTCCAGTGACACCTGTCAGCACACTGTGTGCAGAGGCCAGAGAGACAGCGCGGCGACTGCTGACCCACTATGTGAAGGTGCAGGGCCTGGTCATATCACAGATGCTACGCAAGAGTGTGGAGACGCGGGACTGGCTTACTACACTGGAGCCTCGGAATGTGCGCGCTGTCATGAAGCGGGTTGTAGAGGATACAACAGCTATTGACGTGCAGGTGCTGCCCTCGGCTGACTGCTGTAGCCCTGACACAGACTGGGGGTATTGGGAACAGCACTCTAAGGATCAAGACAAAAGGGCCAGGCAATGCCTGTATTCATGTTCTTATTCCTCAGCCTTGGGAGTRTAGTAGCATCACCACCCCCATTTTACCTACAGGGCAGCAGAGGCCTAGGGTCACCCAGGAAATTGGGGCAGGGCTATGCTCAATATTGGGTCTCAGACTGACTCTTATGTCCTGCTTTGCCCCACTCCACTGATTCTATAAATGGTGACTCAGTACCCTGCGATTCTTGTAACAAATGAGTAAGTATCAGGCATCCTCTGCTGAGGCTCCTTGTGGTACCTCTTTCACCACCAGGTGGGGCTCCTATATGAAGAGGGTGTTCGCAAGGCCCAGAGTAGCGACTCCAGCAAGAGGACCTTCTCAGTGTACAGCAGCTCTCGGCAGCAGGGCCGCTATGCACCTAGCTACACACCCAGGTCAGGCTGGTASGGGTGCCTCAGGGAAATGCATGAAAGAGGACCGTGTGCGGGGCGGGTTGTGATTCCTTGTCTCATTCCTCATGCAGTGCTCCAATGGACACCAACCTCTTGAGCAATATCCAGAAGCTGTTCTCTGAGCGTATTGATGTGTTCAGCCCTGTGGAGTTCAACAAGGTCTGAAGTYCCATGTGACCCAGACTCCAGGGGAACTGGGGAAGCTTGGCTGGAGCAGCTCTGCACCAGCCCAGGAAGCCCTAGGACCCGGTCTATGCCCAACTGAGAGTGACCTTGATCCTCCAGTCTCTATTTCTAGKGCTGTTTCCAGGTAGTTCAGAGCACCACCACCATCACTTCATAGCTCAAGCCTGGATATTGATCTAGAAGCCTCTGCTTTTTTCTCCACAGTAGTTCTGGGTCCTCAGGGTTTCCTAGTCACACCTTGGCTTTTGCCCAACTCCAGTCCAAGTTCAGGGATATTTTTTCCCTCATTTAGTAATGTCTTTCCTTACCCCATGTTAATACTGGCCCCTATCTCTGCCTCTGATTGCTGGGTCCTGCCTTCCCTTTCCCTTCAGATACCCTGTGATTCTTGTAACAAATGAGTAGGTATAGGGTATCCTCTGCTGAGGCTCCTTGTGGGACCTACGTACCTGCCAGGGCTGGAGGTGTTGTGGAGCCCGCGAGCGCTGCTGCTGTTACCTCTATAGCAGAGGTACCAGGTACCATGTCCCTGGAACTCTCTGCCYGGGACCTCCTGTCTTATGCCGTTTGCTGGCACCTCATGTTGTTGATAGACCTTTATTTATATGAGGTGCTGAGAATCGGATTTAGTGCCTCACAGGTGCCAGGCAAGTGCGCTACCACTGAGCCACAGCCACAGCCCCTGGCCCCTCTTCTTAACACCTACAGTCACTCAGCTGCCTCCCTATGTCCCTGCCTGCAGGTGTCGGTGTTGACAGGCATCATTAAGATCAGTCTGAAGACGCTGCTGGAATGTGTGAGGCTGCGCACCTTTGGGCGCTTCGGGCTGCAGCAGGTGCAGGTGGACTGCCACTTCCTGCAGCTTTATTTATGGCGCTTTGTGGCGGATGAGGAGCTTGTGCACCTGCTCCTGGATGAAGTGGTGGCCTCAGCTGCCCTGCGCTGTCCGGACCCAGTGCCTATGGAGCCCAGTGTTGTGGAGGTCATCTGCGAGCGCGGCTAGGCTCATCTGATGAACACACAGAGCCGCCGTGGTGCCCATCTGGTCAATGCCATGGTCTGACCTTCTGGTGCGACAGACCTTCCCTGGGTCAGGACCGGTGTCAGGACCAGCTTAATAAACCTGTTTCCTCCTAGGTCTCTTAGTGCGTGCTGGAACCTGCAAGGGGTGGGGTTTGGGGGTTGAGGCTTCTGAGGCGCCAGCGCAGGATCCGCCCCCGAGCGCCAATTGGCTGGTGTTCTGGGCCCAGGATGAGCAGGGGGCGTGTCCACTTAAAGATCTCKGGACTAGAGCTGCCGCAGCCCCAGCTTTGTGTGGAGGCAGGTGCAGCGGGTCGCAACCTCCTGGTGGCCAAGCCTTTCTCCTGGGGGACAGGGCGGGCTGCGTTTCCTTGACCGACTTTTGTGAGCCCCCACCCCTGGGTAGAGCGGAAACCATGGCTTCTCTTCAGGGCCCCCGAGCCCCACTGGAATTCGGGGGGCCCCTGGGTAATGAGGCTGAGCGGAGCTGGTCTGGAGGGGTGAACTAGGAACAGGACGAGGCAGGATCTGAGGGTGGCAGTTTTGGGGGTACCCAGAGAAAAAAGGGAAGGAGTTGGCAGGGAAAATGTCTCCAGAGGGAGAGCCAGGAGGGGCACTTCTGGGGGCTGGGCGCTGGGGATTTGTGGAGAACTGAGATGTGGGGGAGGAGGGTCTTCTAGGGAAAGGGATCCAGGGGCAGCGGGAGCTCGGGGACTGACAATCGGATTCGGAGACGACGGTGGTAGCCTGTGGGTTMGGGAGAGATGGAGAGCGGACATCCGAAGTTGTGGCCCCCTCCCTAGGCACTGCGGCGCTGCTGCTGCTGCTACCCGCCACCATGTTCCACCTGCTACTGGTGGCCCGCTCAGGCCCGGCGCGCCTACTAGGCCCACCTCCRTACCTGCCAGGGCTGGAGGTGCTGTGGAGCCCGCGAGCGCTGCTGCTGTTACTCACCTGGCTCGGCCTGCAGGCGGCGCTCTACCTGCTGCCGGCGCGCAAGGTGTGACCTCTGTTCCAATGCTTCGTGGAGGCGGGAGGAAGGAGGGCAAGAAGGCCCCACAACCCTTATCAGATTGCCCTGTACCCGCAGGTGGCCGAGGGGCAAGAATTGAAGGACAAGAGTCGTCTGTGCTACCCCATTAATGGTGCCTGGAGGACTGGCCCTTGCATTGGACTTGGTGGGAGTGGGGTTCAATATCTAGCCAGACGGTCCATGGAGTTAGCTCCCGACCCCAAGCTCCCATATGTTCCTCTCTTATGCCAAGGAGACTCCAGGGAGTCTCCCCACACCCCTTATCCCCGCTCCTTTACTTCATTTGCAGCTACTCTATGCACCAGGGCAGTAGCTGAGGTGGCTCTCTGAAGGCTAAGGTGGTAGCCTAATGGCTTAAGCAGGGTCTGTGACCTCCCTGACCTTGCTTTGGTGCATGTGTATGTTGGGAGGGGTGGTGGCGATGCCCAGCCCCAGGACTTACTCTGTTGTGATTCAGGCTTCCAGGCCCTGGTGCTGACAGCCCTATTGGTGGGGCTGGGGGTGTCCGTTGGGCTGCCCCTGGGTGCGCTCCCGGAAATGCTTCTGCCCTTGGCATTTGCAGCCACCATCACCACCTTCATCTTCAGCTTCCTTCTCTATATGAAGGCTCAGGTGGCCCCTGCCTCAGCCCTGGCACCTGGGGGAAACTCAGGTGAGAGGGGTCCCAGTGGGGTGGAAATGCGGCAGATGGGGACACTTGTTTGCACTTTCACTCTCTGTTATTCTCTAGGCAATCTCATCTACGACTTTTTCCTGGGACGGGAGCTCAACCCTCGCATTTGTTCCTTTGACTTCAAGTATTTCTGTGAACTGCGACCCGGTCTCATCGGCTGGGTATGCTGGGCTTTATGGGGCTGGCCTCAGGCCAGGGGAAGGCAGGGCCCCAACAGTGCAGAACAAAAATCATTGTCATTCCCTCCTCCCTGTTGATCTATTGTGTCCTCAACATTGCTCTACTGCTGGAAGACAAGAGAGAGAGAAAGTCACAGGAGAGAAAACATAAAGCCTTCAACCTAGTGGGAAAGAGAGACCCAAACCAGTAATATATATATAGTGAACTGGTGTAGTGCAGTAGTGGGGCATTGCCTAGCACCTGCCACACCCTGGATTCCATCCCCAGCATCACAACATACAAACACACACACACCACACACACACACACACACAAACTATGAAAGAAAACCAAGCAGGAAGAGTTAAGAGAGCTCATGCAGTTTTAAATACAGCAATCAAGTGCAAAATCTATTTTGAGGACAGTGATGATCACATGTTTTTGATGGTCAAGGTAGTACAGAATCTAGAACTGATCCCTGSGTTTAGCAACCTACCTGTCCGTCACTGTTGGCCTTGACAACATTCCATCTCTGTCCTAGAGTTATGATCACCCTTGCTGGACGTTGGCCAAGAGTACCAAAGGAACTCTTGGGAAAGGTCCCTCATGTAAACTTAGAAGTGACCTCACCCTGAGGGCAGGAGTGTGATGTGTTCACCATGGATCTGTTTTATTTTCCCCCAATCTTTTATTTTTTGAGATGGGAGGTCTGACTGTGTAGCCCAGGGTAGTGTCAAACCAAAGATCCTCCTGCATCTGCCTTCTAAGTAGTAAGACTACAGGCATGCACCACCGACCTGGCCCCCTGTGGATCTGGAGCAGGTCCTGCTCACAGACACTTCAGCCTCTAAGGCTATTTGCTTACTTGTGGAATTGGATCAAATTAAAACTTTCTCCCAAGATTATTGTGAGAATGAGAAAGGTAAGCTTAATGCTAGCACTTAGCTCAGCTCTGCCCAAATGAGGGTGCTCAGCATGGACTGGATCCTAGCTAACTGCTAGTACTGCACACATTATGTCAAGTCCTCACACAGCACCCGAGTCAGGTCCCTATCTCTATTCCCCACATGGTGGTGGGAAAGTGGGCTTTGGGAAAGGTAACAACCTGCCCAAGTGGCAAAGCTCAGATTCAAAAGCTGGAGTTTGAACTCTGGAGCCATAGTCAGTCTGTCTACCTGAGCACAGGGCCTGGATCCACTTAACAAGGGGCTGAAGAGTGACTGACAATGACAGGTGAAAAAAGGGGAGAGGCTGGCACTTCCCCACCCAGGTGCTGCCACTTGGGTGGAGGCAATGGCCTTGTCCCCCACTATCCCCAGGTCTTCATCAACCTGGCCCTGCTGGTGCAGGAGGCAGAGCAGCGGGGGAGTCCTTCACTTGCCATGTGGCTGGTCAATGGTTTCCAGCTACTGTATGTGGGTGACGCCCTCTGGCATGAGGTGAGGCTGCACTGGGCAGGGGAGGCTGGGGAGAGTCCCTGTGGACATAGGACTAAGATAGTGTACCTGGGTCCTGTCCCTATAGGAGGCTGTCCTCACCACCATGGACATCACACATGATGGATTTGGCTTCATGCTGGCCTTTGGGGACCTGGCCTGGGTACCCTTCACCTACAGCCTGCAGGCCCAGTTCCTGTTGTACCACCCACAGCCCCTGGGGTTGCCCATGGCTGCAGTCATCTGTCTCATCAATGGTCAGTCAGGAAGGGCAGCAAGCTGGGCCCATCATTTCCCTTCCCTCTTTCTTTCATTCACACTTGGTTCAGTATTCAGTAGGTAGGTGCGAAGCTCGGGTGGTTATCTAAAGCTGGGGCTGGGTTCTGGATATCCAGGGAGTCAGCTATAGACATGCTAGTAGATACTAAAAATCAGGCAGAAGACCATGGCCATCAACCTTGACTATCTGCTCATACTCTCCCCCAGCTATTGGTTACTACATATTCCGTGGGGCCAATTCCCAGAAAAACACTTTCCGAAAGAATCCTTCAGATCCCAGTGTGTCTGGTAAGTTGGGTCTCATGGGGGCCATAGATGAGGTGGAGCACGACTTTCTGGGATTCTCTACCTCACTCTCTGTGTTTCCCAGGCCTTGAGACCATTCCTACTGCCACCGGGCGGCAGCTGCTGGTATCTGGATGGTGGGGTATGGTCCGTCATCCCAACTATCTCGGAGACCTCATCATGGCTCTGGCCTGGTCCTTGCCTTGTGGTGAGTGCCCTGGGTGGATATGAGCAGTAGCATGGTGATCACAGGATGCCTATGATCAGCTACTAGGGATGGACCCAGTGTGTGGTGTGTGGCTGGGGCAAACCCCATGCCAGGTTGGGTTGCCTTTCCCTGCTGAGCCTTGATGCTCTGTGAACCACTAGGCATGGAAATCTCTGTGAACTGCTGTCTGAGTGGTCACAGAGCACTTCTGTACAGGGGTGTCCCACCTGCTACCCTACTTCTACGTCCTCTACTTCACTGCTCTGTTGGTGCACCGGGAGGCCCGGGATGAGCGGCAGTGCCTGCAGAAGTACGGCCGGGCTTGGCACGAGTACTGTCGGCGGGTACCTTACCGCATCTTGCCCTACATCTACTGAAGCAGCTTCACTGGCCACCAGACCACCATGATAGGAATCTGGACACAACTGGGCCCTGAGCTCACCCAGGAAGGGATGACCAGCCTCTGAGAAAAGGTCATTTGGAACAAGATGAAGCCGGTGCCCCCAAATGGAGACATTTTTCTCCCGTTGTATAAATGTCTGGAACCCTTGGTGTTTTGCTCCCATTCTGGGACAAGTGTGTTTATACCCAGAGTTGGATGAGCTCTGACTAGGAGGAAGCTGAGAGGCAGTTTGTGAACACGAGTCTGGGCTAGACAGGATAACAGCTGTCACTCAGAAATGGGCACTGTCCACAGTTGGGCAGACCAGACACAGCTTTATTAATAACAAGGGTCCCCAGGTCAGCCAGGGAGCTCCTCAATGAGAGTCCTCGGTGCAGGTGGCACAGGGCCTCCCCAAAGGCGCTCTAGCTCCCCAGTGAGGGCTGCCACCTCCTCTGCTGCCACCGTGTGGGCTTGGTGGGCCCTGGTGCAGTCTAAAGCCAATGGTGTTAGGACAGCCTCATTTTCATTGGTCCAGGCCAGCAGAAATTGGCACTTCTTCCGGGCCTTGTAGAGGCGATCTCGCTCTTCTCTAGCCACGGCCTGTTTCCTGGCCCTGCCCAGTGTCTGCACTAGATGCCCCAATGCAGCCAGCGTGTAGCCTTTCTGGTTGGCGGGACCCTCACCCAGCAGGATGCGGGCGGCCTCTTGCATAGCACCCCGTGTACCCAGGGGCCCTGGTGGGTGCTCGCTGGTTTCTAGCACGCTGGCTGCAGCCAGCAGGGCTTCCTCCGCAGAAGCAAAGACTTGCTGGGCGCCCAGGGCTCCAGAAACGCCCAGCAGCGTGGCACAGAAGTCGGAGAGCAGCTCTTCGTCCCCGCCATGATAAAGGGCTAGAGTGTGCGCATAGGCGAACAGCACGTTGGGGAGCTGGAAGCGCACGAGCGGCGAGGGTGGGCAGCGACTCAGGCTGGCCAGCGCAGGGATGTGGGTGGGCACTGAGGGCCTACAGGCCCTGGGGGCGTCTCCAGGAACTGGCTCCGCGGGGGCGGGTTCTAGCTCCACAGGTTCACTGCTGGGGACACCATCTAACTCCTCCAGAAGCCGCRGCCCGGCCCCACGGTCCCACCACCACGGCCGCCACGGAGGCAGCAGCTTCCCGGCCTCGCCGCGGCTCAGCAACCGCTCGAAGGCCGCCTTCTCCGCGGGTGCCAACTCTTCCCAGAGTCTGGAAAGGCCGCCGGGTGCCGGGCCAGTGCTCAGGCCTGCCTCCTCGGGGTCGTCCTCTGTCTCGCGTTGCTGGCGCAGCCGGCGTAGAGCACATGCTAGGCGGCTAGGCGAGGCGCTGCGGCCGCGGAGCTCTCTCAGCACCTGGTCACGGTAGAAGTCTTCGGCGCAGGCACCATGCGCCCGATAGCAGCGCAGCGAACAGTAGGGCACATTACAGCGTGGACAGGTGTAGCGCGCTGGCTGGGCTTCCCCGCCTGGGCAGAAGCCGCACAGCCCGGCCGGCTCCATGGCAACTACAGCAGCTAGCTAACAGCGAACGCGAGCACCCCAGCGCAGCCACTTCCGGCGCATATTCAGTTACTTCCGCCTCTTTGCCAGGCCAAGGGAGCTTTCGGTTCGGCAACGCTCGGAGGCTTCTCGGCAATTTCCGCCCACCATATCATAAGCCAAGCCTCTCCCTTCTCTCAAGTAGCACTTTGGGCAGGCGCAGAAACCTAACGCAACTTACGAGCCCCGCCCACTACGGCGATGACGCACAAGATCGGAAAAATGCGCAGGCGAGCACTACGCTGGTCCTCGCTCGCCCCCTAGTGGTTGACCAAACCCTGCCCCATCCCMGTCCCACAAGTTTCCTAAAAGTGAAAAACAACTTTTCTATAAGAGCTGGGGGCATGGGCTGGAGTTGTGGCTCAGTGGTAGAGCGCTTGCCTAGCCTGTGTGAGGCACTGGGTACGATTCTCAGCGCCACAATAAAATAAATAAAGGTCCATTGACAACTAAAAATTAAAAAATAAAAAATACAAAGCTGGGGGCAGAAATCATCTATACTAAGCACCTACTTTGGGCCACTAATCGTGCCAGTTCTATGGGAGATAAGATTCCTCTCTATACTGGAGGAACAGACATTTTGCTAGGGAACATAGACAATTTAAGGGGCAGTTAGAGTGAAAGAAAGGCCTAGACCTGGGTGTTGGGGGCATTGCTTTAAAAGAAGGCAATGTTTAACAAATATCTGAGCTTCTGTTCAATTCCTAACCTAAACCTACCTCTTCCTTCATTAAATACTTTCTGATTAAATATCCAATAGTAGTCAGGCACTGTGAGGCCTGTAATCCCAACTACTTGAGAGGCTGAGGCAGGATGATAGCAAGTTAGGGACCAGCCTGGACAATTTAGCAGGACCCAAAATAAACAATAAGGGCTGGGGATGTAGTTCATTATGTATATTATGTTTATATACACAAACACATACTCACAATATTTATATACACATAAAATCTTCATTCACCTAATTCTGTTAAATGCAGACTCCATATTGAGGACCAAGAACACAATGAGGATCAAAGAGATGAGATTCCTGTCCTAAAGTTATCTTCTGGTGTAACAGAGATGATGAACCACAAACAACAACAATGAGGTGTTTTTGTTTGTTTTTGTTTTACATACTGAGGAATGAACTCAGGGGCACTTAACCACTGAATTGCATGCCCAGCACCCTGCTCCTGCACCACACACATTTTTAAATTTTTTTTTTTTTTTTAGAATTTTTTTAATATTTATTTTTTAGTTCTCGGCGGACACAACATCTTTGTTGGTATGTGGTGCTGAGGATCGAACCCGGGCCGCACGCATGCCAGGCGAGCGCGCTACCGCTTGAGCCACATCCCCAGCCCACATTTTTAAATTTTGAGAACAGAGTCTCAAGTTGCTGAGGCTGGCCTCAAACTTGTCATTCTCCTGCCTTAACCTTTTCAGTTGCTGGGATTACAGATATGTACCACTACATCTGGCTGAAAGATGAGGTCYTGATCTATGGTACCTATGAAATGTATCCTGTTTCTTTGGTCACTCTCACATTCATTCCCACATCCTGTCACTTCTGCCTCTGAAATATCTTACATCTATCTTGATATGTTTCATTTATCTCCCTACAAACACTTGGAGACTTGGATGGACCACCACTGATGGTCTAAGCTACCTGCCTCCTCATCGGATGACAGTGCCTTAACTGTTTTCCTAACTTCCTCCAGAAAAAAAAGCCTGAGAAATAGATTATAGGGCTGGGGATATAGCTCAGTGGTAGAGCATTTGCCTTGACTAGTCAAGGCCTGGTTTGATTTCCAGCACTGAAAAGTGAAAAACCTACAAGAATTTAGATCACAAATCAGATTACATCAGTCCCTTGCTTAAATCCTCTTCATGACCCTCTGTTGCTTTTAGACTCAACCCCAGCTATGGTGTGAATCAAAACTCATGTTGAGACGGGCACTGTGGGCCACAACCATAATCCCAGCAGTTTGGGAGACTGAGGCTGGAGGATTGTGAGTTCAAAGTTAGCTTCATCAATTTAGCAAGGCCCTAAGCGATTTAGCAAGACCCTGTCTCTAAATAAAATATAAAAAACAGCTGGGGATGTGACTCTGCGGTTAACTGCACCTGGATTTACTCCCTTGTACCAAAGCAAACAAAACCAAAACCAAAAAACTCCACAAAAAACAAAAACAAACATGTTTAAATGTAATCCCTTTTGTGAGGCATTAAGAGGCAAAACCTTTTAGAAGTGGTTAAGTCCAAGGTTCTACCTTAATGGATTGATCCATTCATGGATTAATGCAGTGTGGATAAAATAAAGGAGTTCTTTCCCATGGCTAACAAGGTCTTGCAGAATCTGCTGCACTCACTAGACATCACTTCTGCTTCTGCCCTTGGAAGCCTCTTGGCTGAACTCTCCTCAGCTTAACACTTGATTGGTTATTTCAGGACTCACATCTTCTCCTCAGTGGTCTTCCTTAGGGATGCTCCTAAGTACGTCTGTCCACAACTTCCCCCACACCACACCCACATTGCAGCAGTCTTTCTATGAGGCTATTAACACTTGTAATGAGTTTCCTCATATTTCCCCACACAAAAAATTTCAACTGTGGGCTAGGGACGTATGTCATTCAAGGGCAAGGACTTGAGAACTTGGATTCAATCCTCTACCAACCATAAAAAAAAAAAAAAAACAACCTGATAAATAGAAAGTCAGGGGCTGGGATTGTGGCTCAGTGGTAGAGCGCTCTCCTAGCACGGGCAGAACCCGGATTCGACCCTCAGCACCACATAAAAATAAAGGCATTATGTTGTATCCATCCACACCTAAAAATATAATAAATATTTTTAAAAAGTTAGGGACTATGTTTTTTTTTTTCCCCCAGTGCTGGGGATCAAACCCAGGGCCTTGAGCATATTATCCCAAACTCCCTACCACTGACCTACATTCCCAGTTCTTTTTTTTTTTAAATCACCATACACAATATTTTTTTTTTAATCGAGAGAGAGAATTTTAATATTTATTTTTTAGTTTTTGGCGGACATAACATCTTTGTATGTGATGCTGAGGATCGAACCCGGGCCACAGGCATGTCAGGTGAGCTCGCTACCACTTGAATCATATCCCCAGCCCCTTGGCTGTTCTTTACACAGTCTATATACCTACAATAAGCCAGGGGCTATGTAAGCATTTTATATCCTTTCACCTTCACAGCAACTCTCAGATGATACAGACTACATAAGTAGATCAAGGGCTGGGGCTGTAGTTCAGTGGTAGAGCAGTTGCCTAGCATGTATGAGGTACTGGGTTCGATCCTCAGGACCACATAAATAGTAAACATAAAAGAATGCTATCTACAACTCTAAAAAAAAATAAGTAGTTCAAGATCTGTCAAACAGTAAGTAGAAGAGGGAAAAAGAAAAAAACCCAAAACTCCAAGTTCAGCAGTCTAAACCCAAGGGCTTTCCCCCATGGTATATTATATTAAGAACCAGCAGGTTCAAAAACAGATGAATGATGAGTGGATTTCAGATATGCTGGAAGCCTTAGTTGCTAGGAGAGATCCTTAAATCAACTCTAAAAGAACTGTTTGGGAACATTTTATCCAATCATAGCATAATTAAATCAGCAGGGCCAATCAAACAATTAGAAGTAAACAAGGTCACCCATCACCATGGTGCCAATGTAATCAAGCAATACTTTGCTGATTTCTAGTACTGAGGCACAGCAGGTTTCTTGTGTCCTGGACTTTAGTAAGGCCACAGCTAGTTCTAAGTTCAAGGAAGGACTAGATTGGCATTTACTGACTTTTATCTTCTACCCAAACCCCTTCCATACTGCCCTTTGCTGCCTCCATAAAAAACACCTCATCATGATTCCTGCTACCTTCTCTAGATAGAAGATGTAAATTGTTCAGAATGGGTAATTTCCCAACTCTTTATCTTAAGGGCGGTCATTTGTGACTCTCCTGTAGTTTACCATTTCTTCCTTCCAGATTATGGGCTTCTGCCCTTACTGCCTCCAACCTCTGGAGGACAAATGACCACCCCTGAAAACCATACCTTTTCCTAACATCCTGCAAATTAAAATGAAACAATGAGTTGTCTGGACGAAGTGGCTTTATTAGAGAAAACAAAGATTACATAGGACTTAGGAGTTGGCATTGGGGCCTTTCTTCTTGCCAAAGGTGGGCACAACATTGACAAAGCGCCGGTTGTACTGCATCCGCCGCTTGGCACGGCCTGTCTTCTTCTTCTTCTTCTCCTGTTTGGCCACCTGGGAAAAAGAAGGGCTGATCAGAACCTGGCTGACCTCTTACAAGCCTGGCACTCTTCCCTCAGGCTCTTCTCCAGGAAGGGACAAGGCAAACAGGAACATCAAGGGTCTTGGATTAGCTGTGACAGTAAGACAAAGTCCAAACACCACAAATTTTCTCACTCACCTTGGGAGTTTGACCTCTTACTTTTCCAGCACGGGCCAGAGAACCATGGACTTTACCTGTGGTGAGAAGGGAGAACAGCAGCAGGTTGAGACAAGTTTGGCCCTAACTGGAATGAAACAAAGTCAGAGTTTTGACCTGTAATAACATTTTCTGGCTCTGGACTTTCAATAAGACTTGAAGACCATCTTGGGGATCTGGTCTGACACCTTGATTTTAGTGGGGAAACTGAAGCCAGACAAAGGTCTGCCAAAAGAACTGCTGTCTGGCTCCTTCTCTCACACCTCTTGGAGTTCATTTAGAGGTGAACGGGAAAAATTTAGCTGGACTGAAGATCGTGGAAAACACTTCAGTGTCTTGCCAGAGAAAAGATACCGAGCTGCCAGGACTATGTACCCCACACCCACTCATTTAAGGCAGTTCAAAAAGCCCTCCTCCCCCACTTACCTCCAAGCATGCGGCCGGCTACTTCCAAAGTGGTCAAGGCCTCCACTCCACACTGGCCCAGAGTAGCCTCATCCTCCAGCGGCGCGCCTGCCAGGAGCACGACTTGGTCTTCCGGGGCGATGCCCTCCAGTGAGGCTACATGAGCCTGCAGGAGAAGCAAGAATCGTGTGCATTCCCGCGGGTACGAGGACCAAGAGAACCAGAGGACGGGTAGAGTGCAAGCAGCTCCACGCAGACTTACCTTGATCTGGGCGACCGTCTCCTGGCCGGTTACTTCGAGGGTGTGTAGCTCTTGGGCGCGGACAAAGAGCTGCATGTCGGCGACTGAAATGAAAGGCTCGTGTGAGAAGAGGAAAAGCGTCCCAGGAACAAGGGAGTCAGGGAATGGGAAACGGAGCAGGACGAACGCGTCGGGACTGAGACAGGCGCGGCGTGTCAACGTGGAGGAGACCGGGCCTGCGAAGCTCAGGCAGGGACTCGAGCCCGGGCCGCCATAGAGAAGCCCCTGCCCCTTGATTTCCCGGTGCCTTCAGACCCCGCGGCYGGCCTTCTACCAAGCGCTCGCCTAAGTCTTACCTGAGCCGCGGCCCGAGGTGCCGCTACCGTGAAGATGGAGTCGAGAAAGAGGAAGAAGCGAGGGCGCGCACGTCCTCACCGCCTGCTTCGTGCCACGTCACTACTGAGCGACCGCGCGGTCCTCTAATATTTGTACCGCTCATCACCATTCTAGCTCCGCCCCTTTACGCTACGCTCAGGCGTCCTTTCTTCGTGGGCTGTGCGCGCAGGTGGGTGAGGGGGCGGGACCAGGCCGGTTGCGCGCGCAGAGGGCCAGTAAAGGGGCTGGTCAAGATGGCGGCGGCCGTGTTCCGGGCGTCGCTGCGGGGCTGGACCACTGGGGTCCTGCGGGGCTTCGGGCTGCGGCACCAGGTGAGAGCGCCGAGCTTGGAACTGAGGGAAGAGGGCTGAGTGCGCGGCTCACTGTTGTTCATTGTAACTCTGCAATCCGTATCCCTACATGGGTTCTTAGTTTTCCTACCCAATCGGTGGCACTTGTCTCGAAGGTAAATACAAGATTGAGGGGGAAAGCGGTAGATCCCGGAGGGCGCGTGAGGAATGTGGGGTTTGGGATGTGGATAAAAGAGAGCGCGGGGTAGTCGCGACTGGGGGTTACTGCCCATGACACTCGCTGCCTGGGTCCTGAGTGTGAGCAGGGAATTGCCATTAGTTAAAGAACCTAATCTAGAACTAGACTGTTTTAACAGAATGTGCAGAGACAACTTTTAAATACTGAAAAATGCCATAGTGGTCAATCTTACTGCTAATTGGCTTTTCAGAAGTACACAGTGTCATTTGAGTCCTGAGAGAGGCATGCTGTTCAGAGTGCCTGAGTTTCTTTGCCCAGTCCCACCTACACCCTGCACACCGGGAAACTGAAGCTTGGTGCTTTCCRCCTCACACCTTTTATTTATGCTCTTCTCTCTGCTTGAAATGTTTCCGTTTCTGTACTTAATAAAGTTCTCTGTTGTTGGGTAAGCCATGGAGAGATTGTTTGTTTTGCCTCAGAGCCAGACCCAGGGGCCACCTGATTACCCCAGCTTCGTGGAATCTGTGGATGAGTATCACTTCGTGGAGCGCCTGTTACCTCCAACCAGCATCCCAAAGCCCCCAAAGCATGAACATTATCCCACCCCTAGTGGCTGGCAGCCTCCCAGAGGTGAGGTGGTTTGAAGGCTGATGGGGAGCATCTCCCTCCCCAGTGGCTGCAGGACTCATGTAGAAATCCTTTAGGATTAGCATTGGATAGTGCCCAAGTAAGGGCTCAGGAGTGGAGCTGTCCATTCACGGGTACCCATCCATCCACACTGTTGGGATGGAGTCTTTCCACCTGGGGAAAAAAATGAAGCATAGAGAGAAAACCAAGTGCTTGAACTGATATTCTCCCCCAGCAGACTATGTACCATAATTGAGAACACAGCTTGGGAGTCAGGCAGTTTAGGGTTTGAATTTCATACTGCTGTTCATTGCTGGTATGATCTTGAGTTAATCATTTCTCCCAACCTCAATTTCAGCAAAATAGAGATAATTTTCTTAGCACATAAAACACTTAGTGGAAAGCCCAGCATATGGTAGGTGTTTGTAAGTCCTTTGTTCCAGAGATTGATTTTGGCCACCCTGACCCAGTGGAAAAGGGCACGGATTACCTGAGAGGGGACCCAAAGATCCAGGGAGGCATGACCCTGACTTCATTTATTTCTTGCCATTAGTTAAAGTACCTAATCTAGAACTAGACTGTTTTAACAGAATGGTGGGAATCCCAGCCCTGGTCCCTGCTCCATTCCAAACCACTTACATGATACCATGATAAACAATTTGGTCCTGACTATAAACTGAAGGAAAGAGATGCCCTGATATGAAGTCTGTAGTTGGCTTGGTCCAATTGGTTGCAATAACCCTCTGCTGATTTTGTGAGGGGAAGGGCCTTGACTGTTGTTGGGTGAGGCCTAGAATGAATGGCTTATCAATATCCATTACTGACAGATCCCCCACCCAACCTGCCCTACTTTGTACGGCGCTCTCGAATGCACAACATCCCTGTCTACAAGGACATCACACATGGCAACCGCCAAATGACTGTGATCCGGAAAGTGGAGGGGGATATCTGGGTAAGTGTGTAGGGAAGGGGTGGTAGCAGGGTGTGGTTCTGTACTTTTGGGGGCTAAAGGGACAGTAGTCTGAGATGGACTATTGATCAGACCCAATTTATCATCTTTTCCCAGGCCCTACAGAAGGATGTGGAAGATTTTCTGAGCCCACTGCTGGGGAAGACACCTATCACCCAGGTTAATGAGGTGACTGGTACCCTTCGAGTCAAGGGCTACTTTGATGAGCAGCTTAAAGCCTGGCTCCTTGAGAAGGGCTTCTGAAGCCTCCTGAGCAACCTGCATGGCATAGTCCCCCACAGACTGGAGTTCAGGGGACCTTGGGAGTTGAAGTGTATTGGAACCCCTGGGACAGGATACAAAAATCAGGGTTAAGGGCTTGGACAGGGCAGAGTATAAGGGCTAAAAGGCTGTGGGGCCAGGCCTTTCTTACATAAAGAGGGAAACAGGTCCCTATGCACAGGTGTCCATTAGGGGAAAGCTCTCAAGCATGAGAGACCCACCTTGAACCACCAAGCTAGGAAAGGACATTATCTGCTGTCCTTCCCCTCACTGTGGCCTGTTACTTGGGGCTGGAAATGACAGYGCAACCCCCTTTGAGGGAGGGTTCACAGGGCAGAGCCTTTGRGCACATCCTTCCTCAGCCCTCTGGGAGCTCACTGCCAGGAGCATTCCTGAACCTTTGCTGTAGATCAGACCTGGCTTGGTCCTGGAGGGTTTGTAAAACACTGTTGACTTCAGCACAGGGTCCTGAGAAAAGCCTTAAGTTCAAGTGCATTGCTGGGCACCAGAGCAGAGATAGCCATGTAGCYCAGGGAGAGGTGGGAATCCCAGCCCTGGTCCCTGCTCCACTCCAAACCACTTAGACTTAACTGGGTTTCCAACTCTAAGAAGTCAAGTGATTAGCTTTGGCTGGCCTGGCCAGGCCATAAGAGTACTTAGCAGCTCCTTGCAATCTGGCCCAAGCCCATCCTCCCAGCCTGTTGACCTGCAGGCAGGAAGTTGCAGACCTTTCACTCCTGTGAGTGGTCCACCCATAGTCAACTAGCCTTCACACTTTCCCTACCCTTGAGTTACCCAGGTCAAAGACCTGAGGTTTCTCCCCTTYCCTCAAACTGGTTAAGACAGTGTTTGGATCCTGGCTCTTGGTCTCTGACCCAAGGTAGGGTACCGATTTCTCTCTGGGGCTCAGTTTCTCCATATGCAAATGGGTATGTCTTTGTAGTTGTCAAGTGTCTACTCCTGAAAATTACAGACCATTATCAAGTCCATAGTCTTGGTAAGAAAAAGGAGTCCAACCCTGATCCTGACATAAGCCCCACCAGTCATTAATGCAAGTTTTTATTTGGCYGTATATACAATTTAAGCTATTAAAATTTTTACAATATTTACAAATTAAATAATCATCTGAAACTGTCTCCAGCAACTCTTGTAACACAAAACCAAGGGGAAGAAAGACAGGGACAGGCAGGCCTTGGCTCCTGTGATCCCTGCCTGGCCCAGAGCCTGTTCTAAAGTGGAGAGGAGGAGCTGCACTTCTGGCTCCTCTTTCCTGGGGATGGGCATTCAAATTCAAAAGATAAAATTTAAGCCAAAAGCCACCAGGTAAGGTAGTAGTTCCAATCCTTCTGAACTTAAGAATCTTAAGTTCTGCAGGTGAGAAGTGGCCTTCCTTGGATTCTGGGTTGCAGTGGTTAAGGAGCAGCACACTAGCCCTCAGCCTGGCTATGGCTGGGCAGTGGCTACAGGGTGAGACTGAGGCAGCCTCACCTAAGAGAAGCTGCAGGGGAAAGGGCCTGGGGGARGGGCAGGGCAGGGTCCCTCAGTGCTGCCCGCCTGCCCCCCACCCCCAGGCACTCCTTTCCCTGAGTTGTKTGGTTGCCAGTAAGACGTGGAAATGCCACAGGGCACAGGGGGCATAGCCACCACTACAAAGGGGCTTCTGGGGGAGATCAGGATAAGAAGAGGAAATTTGTACCAGTCTTGGCAGGAGGGCCAGGGCAAGTTCCTGGCCTGCCTCCAGCCCCTCTGGGGTCCACACTTGGGTATGGGAACTAATACTGTTCGGCACTGCAGTGTGACCCCGCATACAAGTAGGGCTTGGAGGGGCTGCCCCTTCTCCCAGAAATGGATGGGAAAGAAGGGGGTTCTCAGAGGCTGAACCTTTTGCCTTCACAGCTCCAGCTATGCCCCAGCAAAACACAGGGCTGAAGAGGTGGCAAGGAATGCTGAAGTTGACCCAGCATCCCCATGCCTGCCTGGGCCTCAGGGCTGGAGTCTTGGACTGGGAACTCAGCCTYTTTCCACTTGACCTCAGGGATGCCTCCTCCTCTTTCTCAGAGCTGGGGTTACTACTCCCTGGTGCAGAGAGGGAGCTGGCACTTGGTGGCAGGACTTGTTCCAGCGAGGGCTGCTCAAGAGAGCGGGGACAGGGTGAGGACAGGGGCAGTGTCAGTGGGCAACAGGGGACTCCAACTTTTGTAGGCGGCGACGGCGGAGCTCTGCAGCATCAGGCTCTCCATCTTCAGGCAGCTCCTCGGCACCCACTGACTCAGGAGCTGAGGATAGAGAAGTCAGAAGTGGAACCCGGAGAAGCCCCAGCCATATCCCTAAAGGCTGATCAAACCTTACCTGGAGGCTTTTCAGTTTCAGGGGCTGGTGGGGAGGCTCCTGGAGATGGGGTGGTAGCCTCAGAGCTGGGGATGCTGGTAGAGGAGGCAGCAGCGACCACTGGAGAGGCAGTCTCTTCAGCAGGGTTGACAGAAGTGGCAGGCCGGGGGGGCCTAGGGACAGGGGACAGAAAGTAGGTCCAGCCTTGGTAACCTAGCTTAGGCAGATTGTTCTGTTCTTGTCAAGCCTTACAGGACAGTCTAGGACAATGTGCCCCTGTGACTATCAGGCACAAAGGAACACACTTGGAATGGATGCTCCTGTGGAGTGACTCAAAGGCCACAAAGTGTTCTCAAAACACTTGGAGGTGGACTGCTGACCCACCTCTCGTTTTCCCCTGCAGTCTCTGCTCAGGGGCATCAGGAYTTCACAGGGCATTTGCTGAATAATCACAAAGTGCTAAAGTCTTAACTCTGGCTTCCCTCCAAGCCTGTGTTGTCACTGTTARGTGCAAGGCACTTGGTACATGTCAYCTCTGTAAACAGGAACTCCACTATTCTCATGAGGTGAAGGAGATCACAAAGCAAGTGAACAATGGGACTAGCACTTGAATTCAGATCAGGCTGGCTCCAAGTGACTTAATTTTTCCTTTTTTTGTGGTGCTGGGGATGAAACCCAGGWCTTGGTACACACCAGGCAGGTGCTCTACCAATCCGCCATGTACCCAGCACTCTCCCCCAAGTAACTTTGCATTAACTGTTTCTTCAATTCAGGGGCAATTCTTAGTGTCAGTAAGGTATTAGGTGATGAGCTAAAGCTAGGAATAATTTGAGTTTAGAAAAATATAAAGGAGTAAGATTCAAGGTCAGCTCACTAATAAACATCACTCTTTCTTAGCTCCAGATGTGCCTCTGGAGTGGGAGGATAAAGGCACTGGGAGTAATGCCCAGAGACCCTGAGAATGTCTGGAGATAGGTGACCTGAGTAAGTAGGCATTATGGAGTATCAAGGGAGTCATGCCAAGAACAACGGTGAGGGACCTTTTCTTGGCAACTACATAGCTCCCCACTTTCTTGCAAACACTCCGTGGCCCCCATATCCCCATGTAGACATACCCCAAAGAGGCCAGCACAGTGAGATACTGGTTGATTTGCAGCATGGCGGCGTCGAGCAGAGTGTGGATGTTGCGCAGGCTCTGCAGCCGGGCCTCCAGGTGCTGCCGCTCATGGCCCTCCAGAGCCCGCAGTTCCTCTGGGGTCAGCCCAGCAAAGCCCGCAGGGGGCACAGGCATGGGGGGGAAGGCTGGAAGAGGTGGAGGCTCAGTTTGGCTACCTGGGCCTGATACCCCCCCTACACCTTCTAGAATATCCCAGAGGGTGGTCCAACTTACCAAAGGGTGGCGGCAGGGGCATACCCATCCAGGGAGGAGGGAAGGGGAAGCCTGGGGCAGGGCTAGCCTCTGGGGCAGAGCCAGGTGCTGGGGCAGGGGCACCCGTGCTAGCAGCTGTAGTTGTAGCTGCTCCACTGGGCCGAGAAAGGGCTGCTGAAGTACAGAATGAGAAATCAGTGCTGTGGGGTCTCTGGATCCATTCCTGCCACCCTGCAGCTGCTGCAGTACYCAAAGGCTCACCTGCACTGGTGGATGGAGGGGCTGCAGCCTCTCCGGAGCTTGGGGGAGGTGGGACAGGTGGGAAGGGACCCATGGGGGGCCACAGCGGGAACATGCCTGGAGGAAAAGGAGGCAGGAGGCCCTGGGGGACTGCAGAGAGAAGACAGGATGGTAAGAAGACCACTGAACTGATACTGACCCCACTCCCAAACAGGGAGCTTGGCTACTGGGAGCTGTGTCCTCTGCTCCCAGAGGCCTGAGCTCAGCACTGGTTACAGTGATTGCAATCATTTATTTCTCATCTTTTCATCCTCTCTGGCCCAGACTTGGAGGGCAGAGACTTGGATTYCCCAGCATCTCCCATTCCCAACTCTGGGAAAGTACCCAACATATGGCCAAATGAAGGGATACTTACAGTTAGGGGGCTGAGGCAGGAGTGGTGGGGGATGAGGGGCAGGGGGTGGCCCCTGATCCGCAGGCTCAGGAGGTGGTGGTGACTGGGCTGGCAGAGATGCTCTTAGGACATCCATTCGGCAGGTAGGGCAGGTCTGCTGTCGCTGGAACCAGGAGCGCAGGCAGCTAGGGATCAAGACCAGGTAGTGGTCAGCAGGTCTCCAGGGGCCTGTGATCTGATGTACAGGTTCCCAGGACCCCTCCCACCTGGTGTGGAAGATGTGGTTGCAGGGCAGCCTCTTGGCACCAGTCACCATTTCTTCTCGGCAGATGATACAGACATTGTCCATTGCCTGAAGTTCCTCAGGAGTGGCATCTGGATACCTGGTTAGGATGGCAGAGCATGTGTCAGAACCAGAGCTGAAAGCAAGGTGACCTGGGACAGTGTTTGGGAGAGAACCTGGGACAAGCCCACTTACAGTGTGTTCATGTTGCGGATGGCTCGGCGGGACATGATGGCGTCTGTCACAGCTTTCTTGAACTGCCTGAAACAACAGTCAGTAAATGCAGGGAGGGGGAGGGATCAGGTTAGGAGACTAAAGGGACAGGGCTGGGCTCACCTCATGGCCAGGTACATGGGTCGGATGGCAAAGAGCGGGAAGGTGTGCACCTTGATCATGATGGTCATGAAGGCCATGTACAGCAGAACCTTGATAAAGCCTGGGGGTAAGGATGCAGAGACCTGGTCACAGGGTCTGGCAGGTAGAATAGGAGATGCTGGTCTGGGTCAGGAGAGGTCCAGGCTGCCCTCACCTGTGAACAGCTCTGTGTAGAGCATGTACACAGCTTTATTGTCCCAGGGGTTCTCGCTCTGGAGGTCCACGGAGTGTAGCACATACTTGATGAAGATGGTGAGCACCATTGTCATCAGGATGGCATACTGGAGGGAGAGGGGCACGAGGGGGATGTAAACACCAGCTCCCCTTAATCCAGCCATGCTCTGCAGTGCCGGGGCCCCAGCACAGCAGGGTGCCGTGTTACCAGCACAGGATCTGAACACAGCTSGTCTTCCCAGCTCCCCAACTCACTATGACTTCAGGCAGTTCACTCAACCTCAACTTGCTCATCTGTAAAATGCAGAATTAACTATTTATTTATAGCAGCGCTGTCTTGCTGATTAAGAAATGCAGGTCAGGGGCTCAGCACAAGACTGGTATACAGTGGACACTYGGCA